CACAAACCAAGTGTTTTAATTTTGTAAATTTTATAGAAATCTAAGCTGTGGCTATAAACCTGCTGACAATAAAAGTGAGCTATGTGACAAGATACTCATGGATGCATTAAGGAATTCACTCACATCTAAGCCTGTGTACTTAACACAGCACAGGGGCTGAGGGTTTCCCTCCCTGTGTGTTTATGCCCCTGTCCCATGCAGACTGCAAGCTGCTGCACAGTCTTATGTGATCAGGGAGGAATTTAGCAAAATTCTTAAAGTGTTAAATTCTTTAGAAATAGGAAAATACAACAAAAATTGTAGGGAGAGCAGGGTTAGTATCTTCCTCATTTCCAGCTGACAAGAAGTGGTATTTTTCCCACCACTTCAGTTTATGCTGGGTTTTACTGGTGCTAATCCGAGCTCTTTCCACCATCCTGGCACGGAGGAGAGGGGTTGCTTTTGGGAAGATAAGTGAAGCAGTGGTGTGGGGAGACCCTGGAATTCCATGTAGTGTTTCTGGCCATTGTTTTGTGGCAATTGTGGGGTTTAATCCTATGTGCTGGAATTAACGTGATGACCGATCCTGTCTGTTTGCTGAGGGCTCCTTGCCATGCACATGCTATAGATGTGCTGGTTTGGTTTCAGCAGAGAAGAGCTGGAGTGGAGGCTTAGTCTCAGGCAACCAGTGTTTAGCTTTGCTTAAAAATATGACTAATTTTTCTGCTTTCTAAGTGCCATCATCCCTCTGACCGTGAAATGTGTTATTTGGAAGTGTTACTTACAGAAGTACTTTGTTTGTGGTGGCTGATGCAGAAATCCCTGGAAGGTCTGAGACAAAGCATGTCAGTTTAATCTCCCCCTTACTCAAACTGAGCTGTGAACCAAAGGGAACAGGTTGAAGGTGGGTGTGCAGCCACTTCCCACCAGTCTCCTGGCAGCTGTGGCTCATGGACCAGCATCCCAAGAAACATCAGCTGGATGGGAGATGCTCTGCAGCTCACTGTAATGCACTTGTGCTTTCTGCAGAAAGGCTGTGAATTTGGATACCTCAAAAGCACTGTATGTGTGACTTATGGGTATAGGAAACGAGGAGATCTCAGTGGGGTTTGCTAACCCCCTGAGGCTCCAGCTGAACTGCTCTCAGTGGTGTTGGTGAGGGACCACTGGGCTGTATGCAATGACATTATTGCTGAGCACTGGTGAGAATGTGGGGTAAGTTGTGCTGCAAAATGGGGTCCCAGACTTTGCCATGTGTCAGGAGCTCCCCCCAGAGACCTGTGGTTACACTAATCCCATCCCCAACCCGTTCTCTCTTGGCTTGTAGGATCCCAGGAGTCCTCTGGCAGGATTTTCTACTTCCAGGTGTAAATCCACCCCCAAGTTGAAACTGACAGCATCATGTTGAGAAAAGCCTGTGCCCTGGAGATGCTGTGGCTGAGGAGGCTGCACAGACAGACAGACTTTGCTTGTAGCCACAGGGGCTGAGGCTTTGCAAATTAGTTTCTAAAAATGCAAATGGGTTTGGAAGAGAAGCACCGAGGTTTGCACATTGCTATTCTGGGAGGAACACAGAGGCTTTGCTGCAGAGCCAGCAAAGGAAGATGGGGGCCCTTTGCCCTTCTCTGACTGCGGTGCTTGGACACCTCTGGCAAACTTCTTGCTTATTACTATAATGGTTAGCATACTCAGACTGTGATGGCTTGGAAAACACCTGACTCTTGGCATCAAGAGATGCTTTGTTCTCTTTATCCTGGGGTTTCATAGCATGATAGCAGGTCTGAAGGTCCTGTCTGAAATCACAGGACCTGAACAGGTAAGAGGAGATAGTACTGCCTTCCTATAGGTACTGATCTTGGGCACAGTCATGTATGGAAAGCAGGCAGAGCCAGAAGAGGTATCTGACTACTTCAGTCCATGTCCTGTGGTCTAGACATAAAGCTCTTCCCTGGTTTTGAGTCTGAAGATCCATCACTTAACCTGGTGAATTCCTGTATAATATAATGAAGAGGAAGCTACAAAGTCCATGTTGTTCTCTATGCAGGAGTGATAGTGACAGGGAACATCAGAAATGACCCAGACACTAGTCATCCACCTCATGGATCCTGCATTCACATTTGGAAGTGTAAAATAGGAATTTCAATACATTATTTTCACCTGGTTTCTTAAAGAAGTGCCTCAAACTTGGTTCTTAGTTGACAGCAGAGTATCCACCTAGACACAAGCACCATCAGTCAGTGCTTACACCTTAGCAGAGCATTTTTCATGCACTGCCTCCTGCTCTTGTGCCTTGATTCTGTATTTAATGTGAGAATAGCATGATCCCATTGACTCCTTTTATCCTCCTAGGATTCTGACTTGGCTTGCAAAGAACTGCTCTGAGCCCATTTGCTGAACAATGGCACTGGAATCAAGGGGAGAGCCCCCAGTGTCCATGTCCATGAGAGGCATCATGGAATCACAGAGTGGTTTGGGTTGGAAGGGACCATAAATACCATCTTGTTCCAATCCCCTGTCATGGGCAGGGACACCTTGCAGTAGCCCAGATTGCTTCAAGCCACATCCAACCTGTCCTTTAACACTTCCAGGTATGGGACATCATTCTCAGCCTCAGAGATGTGGTACAGATCACAAGGGCTGCCTGGACCATTGCTCAACCAAAAGCTATAACCAGTAGGATTTCATCCTAGAAAGCATCTGTGATGTGCTGCCCCTTACATAACACCAGGGAATTTAAATAGAAGCAAGTGCTCTGTTTGAATGCCACACTAAGCAGTTGTCTCCAGAGGAGAAGGATTGGGGATCTCAGTGAAAAGCCAGCCATGTGCTTTCTTTCCTGTCTTTTGGAGTTTATCTCTTACAGCTCCTTCCATCCTGAGTATGTAGTGGCACGTGGGTGCCCTGCTGTGTGTACTATATAATATAAATATGTAATAAAAACGTGCTGCTCAAGCATCAAGTGCTTTGAGTGGTGCAGAGAACTCTTCCTGCTGGTCAGTGAGGTGATGGAGCTGGGGTAGAAGCTTGTCTCTTTGCTGTGGGTG